ATTGCAATTCCCAAATCATTCACTTAGAATTCTTTATATGAGCTTTGTCAATTCCTTCACAAAGAGTTGAGTTTTGATGAAGATCCTAACCCAAGACTGAGAACTTATTGGTTGTCAATCATGTTCCAAGGGCTTTTGTCTATGGTATAAGATAATGCGCAGTAATAGAACTACACAGTCAACTACAACAATCAGGTCATTAAAAAAAAATGCAAAAGTAATAAGGTTGTAAGTACCTATAGTTGAATAAACAAGAGCCAATAAGTCTATTAAACCTAATAAACAAAGCTAAGATCAAGAACAAGAACCATCCCAGGAAAGATGCTCTGCAATACAACTCCCTTCTTTTACATCTCTAGCTAAGTGGCCTAGTAGTTAGTTCTAAAGAGTTTGGAAATCTATTAACTGAATCATGCAGTCACTCTAGATGTTAACTCCTAGCCTCTTTAACATGATAATAGAACCCAAGGCCTCTTGTACCAAACTCTTGGAGTTAACATCTAGAGTGACTGCATGATTCAGTTGGGATCATTGCCCTTGGCATGGGATTCAGTAATCCAATATCAAAGATTAAATTTTCCTACATACCACTTTCATGGACACTCTTGGCATAAGCCCCTAAACTATGAAGGAAATCTTATTAGAAAAATCTCACCTTTCTTGCATTTTAAGCCATGCCACTTTCATGGAATCTCTAGATTGAGTGTGTCCTACTAAAGAGATTCACTTTTCTGATATTTTCATCCATGCCATTTTCATGTTCTCCTTTGACTCAATACTGAAGTTGTGTTTCAGTTGTGGTGGAACTGGAAATTGGCAGTGGAAAAGGATTTTGTTAAAACTACTCCATTGTAACAACTCACAGGAAAAAAAAAACGAGGCTGAAAATGTGGACAAAAGTGCAAATCTAGCCATGTTTTCCATTGATTCACTGGGAAATAAAATGCCTGGGGATAGTCATTCTCATCATCCATCAAAACAGAGAACCAATTAAAGAAATATCAACACCTTAATATTATAGGGAATATACTAATTCCTAATACCTAGATAGCATTTCTCAATATCCTAATCTGCCAAATTGGATCAAGAGTGTACATTTTGACAATGAAAAGCACATAAGCAATACCTTTGGCTAGATAAGGAAAAATAAGTGGCTAGAAAGATAGGTGACCCAAACAATGTGGATTTTAATTCTAGCTAGTGAGTGCAGTGGCCCAACCTTTAGACATGTCAAATTAGGAAAATAGAAGTTAATTATTAAATAAAATATTCAGGATATATCTCAATGTTTTGAAAACTGGAAATGACCAACTAGATGAATGGGTTTCTATTATAACAAGATTCCTTACTGAGTTACCAAAACCCGGGAAAAAATTGCAGTCTGTTCAGGTTGATCTGAGAAAACTGGGAATCAGGGCCCTTTCCAAATGCCCAGTCCAATTTTTTAAACATTGAGTTTGCTTACTTCTATAAACCCTTTCATATCTTTTGCTTTCATCTTTTATATTCATCATGGATATATGAAGTAAATTGTCCTTGAAGGGGAAAAAAGCAGTTACCTTTATGAGCACCGCAATTACCACAAAGCCAGAATGTTCAGAAAAAGCAAGTATCATCAATCATAAAGAATGAAAAAACAGTCATTCCTTTCTTCATCACTCAATTGAATATACTACAATTTTAAAATGTGAAAAGGCTTGGCGAATCACAAAGATGATCATATTTTACCTTGGAATACATTTATTAAATCAGTAATCTCATGCTTGTACCTGGTCACAAACTTATCTCGAAACTTCATATCATTCATTACTAATACAGTTCCAAGGGAAACATTATTCTTCATGAATCCCTTTGAGAGCAGAACCTGAATAACTGATATTCTTGGAACAATCCTATTTTCCAAACTAAGACTAAATATTACTGGATTTCTGGAGAGAACTGAGGGCTTCAGGTTCAATTTGTTCATGAAGAAATCCAACTTAGTCCTGATGTTCTCCTCCGAGATAGATATGCAATTAGGGCCCTTTCTGAACAAGCAAAATATCTCATCATCTGACCAACCAAAACTCTTGTAAACTCGAAGTTTAGCATCCCATGTAGCTGTGCTCATCCCCGATTTTATACCTAGGGCTTTAATAAACATTGTGCTTGAGGGATCAAAGCCCATTTCACATATCTTCTTCACAAACTCGCTAAATCGGTCGTTGTTCTGAGTTAGTCTACCAGGATACAACATGATAAATTTCGAGATATTGGACTCAGGCACACCATGATTCAGCAAGATTTCGACTTTAGGTGCCAACATTGTCTGGGCATTAAATTGGAGAATCCAGGAGGCACAGTTGCGGTAAATGGCTAAGACGACGTTATTGTCTGTGTGAAGTAAAGTCTTGAGAAAATTCCAAGAAGGGATGATTTGCTTCTCTAAGCTCCTGGTGAGAATGGCAGGGTCTGAAGAGATGAACTTAGTAAGGTTGGGCCCTGATATTCCAAACTGTCTGAAAAATTGAACTTTAGGCTCAAATGATTTTACTGGGTCGGCTAAAAGTAGTAATGGACGCTTTGTTATGACTTTTTCGATCTGGGTTTTGCTGAATCCGTGGTTCTCAAAGAATTTGAGCACAGAATTTGGTTTCTTCTTGTCTTCCAAATGGACCTTCTTTGCAATAGAAAGGGCTCTCTCTGATGAGAGCCCACAAAAGTTTACTAGGTAAGAAACTGTAAAAGAAGACTCCTTTTCTGAATTTGAAATGTGAGAGATGGATTTGAGAAATGGATTATGAAGATATCTGAGAGCTGGTGTTGAGTCCCTTCTCCTAGCAATAAGTAATCTTTTACCTAAAAAACCAAACATTGTATGAGATTGAAAGAAGATGCTCTTAGAGAACTTACAGTTTCATGGAGTTGGCGTCCGGGAGGATTTTGATGGAAAACACTTTCTGAATTCAAATGGGTCTTCGTTCTACCATGGGAACCCTAACATCAGTTAACAATTAAAATTAAAAACCGAACCGCGCACATTTCTAAATAAAGGATAAAACATAAAAAACCTCGCTCTGTTCTCAAGAATTGTAGTGAAAATTGCATTTTAGTAACTTGTAGTTTGGGTGAGTCTCACTTTGTTCTACGAACTTCAAAACATGTCAATCCTGACCTTCTAAAATTGTCATGCCAATTCAAGCCGTCAGTTATATGTACTGTTTGACATAATGTGCAATTTAAATGTGGGCAAATTCTTTAATTGATTAAGTATATCCTTACTGTTTTCAATGTTATCTAATGCTATTCCAACTGTTTGTGATAATTTACTAGCTCTATCTTTAACGTTAGTATCACATGTAACATATAATTTTTTTAAAACCTAATTTTACCCTTCATCCCTCTCCCTTCCTTTTTCTTCTCATTCTTTTTAACCGTCTTCTTCAAGAGAGCCATTGGCACCTCTGCCAATCTACCAATGAAATCCCAAAAGCTCCACTCTGTGGTGAAGAGAAAATATGTCTTTACGACAAAAAGAATTATCCCTCTTTTCATTGGTTCTCTTTGAGACAACTACCTACAGAGATAGATCCACTTTGTAGGGTTCAAGCATGGATGTGGAGGGGTCAACAGTGATGAAATAGGGGTGAGAGGGAAAAGACGGTGATGAAACAGTTTCCTACTTTGATATCTTGTAAATAAAGAAGATGACTGCAACCAAGTAGATTTATCATGTAAAAATAAACAAAAAAATACCCATCAATAACTGGAGTCCTGAGGACGACTATAACTAGGTGGAGTTTTGTTGTCGAAGAAAGAAGAATGGAAGTATATAATTTATACAGGCAGAAGCTTTAGTAGTGACAGATCTAAATCTCTCTCAGATCTAAGATGGAATTTATACATGGGAGGTGGAGAGGGAGAACGAAGAGGGGAAGGGGGTGGAGGAAGAAGATCATCGCTGCTGCTGGAAGTTGCAGCAGTAGCGGTGATTTTCATCGATAGGAGAGAGAGAGAGAGAGAGAAGAAGAAGAAGAAGAAGAAGAAGAAGAAATTTGTCAATGGCGGGAGGAGACATCAACAATCTTCCGAAAAACGATGCCAACTACACAACCTGAACCCCACTCTAGTTTTTGGAGAGAGCATCTCTAGTCCATCCATAGAGGAAATCAACTATTCATGGATGGTTATAGTATATGTGGCTTCAGACTTATCAACATTGCAAATGCATGGCTTTAATGTTTTCTAAGCATGTAATTGGCCTTAGAAAGATGATGAGCTCCCTACAGAGACAACTCCACTCTGTAGGGTTCAAGCATGGATGTGGAGGGGTTGGCAGTGATGAAACAAGGGCAAGAGGGAGAGAGAATGAAGGGGACGGAGAGACAGAGAGAGAGAATGAAGGGGGGACAGAGAGAGAGAGAGAGAGAGAGAGGTTGGATATGGAGGGATCCGCTATTGTTGCAACAACAGTGATGAAACAAATACAAGAGGGAGAGAGAATGAAGGGGAGGGAGAGAGAAAGAGAGAGTGGCCAAACGTGGAGGGGTCCACCACCGCCACTACAACTTGCAATAGCGGCGGTGATAAAACAAGGGCGAGAGAGAGAGAGAGAGAGAGAGAGAGAGAGAGAGAGGCTAGTGTTGTTTTGTATATGTCCAAAGTACCACCATACCTGCCCATCTCATCTCAGATGAAGGAACCCAGATCTGGACCTGGACAGCGAAGACAAACTGAGGAAAAATAAGAACCAGAGGAGCTTTCAATTTGACCTAAGGGCTAAACGGGCATTTCAGCCATTCCGTTAAATTTTAATGATAATGATAATTTTCTGAAATAGTAAGAGTAGCATTAGACAATAGTCAAACAGTAGGGGTATACTTAGTCAATTAACTAAATCATAAGAGTAGTTTAAGAAATTTCCCTTTAAATATTTACAAAATGGTAAAATTACCCTTTATAAGATTTTTGAGACCATTTTATTCTTGTCTTTTAAATGTTAAAAGTTAGGGTTCATTCCTCTTCTTCCAATAAGGAAGAAGGGTTCTTCACTATTGAACGAACGAAGGATTCTTCAGTACTGAACGAACAAAGAGGACGAATAGCTATTATCGATTCTTGAAAGCATTAGGTTCTAAGGTTATGAGGATTCCCTTCATATCTTTCATACTCTTTCCCTAACCTGTTATAGGTTGTGTACCTGTTGTTTCCCTTCTTGCATCAATATGGTTTTTTTAATCATTTTCATTGTAATGTCTTTCATTCATTTGTATCATTTATTATTTAGCTTTTTTACTTCAGTTAGAATGGTTTGCAATGAATATTCACATGGTGTGTAGGGATGTCTTCTTAGTCCACATGTGACAATTAACATATTAGGCACCTTAAATACAAGCCAAATTATTGTAAATGTGGAGAGAGAGTTGTGATCCGTGTACCAAAAATATTCTTTAATCCGAATAGGATATTTTATAACTACCCGATTAATTTCGTAAGCAATTTAATTAATTCACATTGTATTTGATTGTATTCAAGGCAACATACCCTAGGCCATGCAATTTTTTTATGGACATTTCCCACAATCTAATCTTATAAAGGCAACTCAATGATTCATCTAAATAACTATATTGGAGAGCTTCAGAAATTTGGTAGTTGATCAGGATTTTTGTTTGAAGGCCTTGGAGTCTTCCTACAAGTAGTTATTGAATGGTTGAAGAACAGTAGGGCTTTAATCATTGAGTTCATTATTGTGTTCTTTGGCATATACATGTACAAGAACAAGAGTATAGGATTATGTACTTTTTACTTGTTTTTCAACATGTCAAGAGTTTAGGCACCAACCTCTTATGAGTCAAGTCAATCATCTCTTATATTAGCCAACAACAATTCAGTATAATGAACGAACTGATATTGTGAATTTCAACATTAATGGTTATAGGGAGTACCACACAAATGTCAAAACATGAAGCTCTCACCAATCAATCCATGAACTTCATCATGAAAACTCCACAGACATATCCATTGCTAAAATTATGATAGCTAACTTATAATCCACAAAGGAGTTTCACATATAAGTTGGTTGTCAACCCAATGCTAATCACAAACTACAAGTTGGCTAATTTAATTACAAACAAATAACTTGTTATCACACAAATGGTGTATTTTTGGGTATTGCTTCTTCATACAAACACCATTAATGGATAATAAGGAGAATGCATAGGTTGTACTGGGTCAACAATAATTCCTTATCCTTCCAAACGTCCATATTGCTAAGATAAATCCATATGTTAGATATATAGAACATGATTCAATTAATAATAAATTACTTAAATAGTATACAAAGTTTAGTACTCCCTGATTTCACCATGCAAGAATGCCTCGATATCCTTTAAGTCCTTTTATGACACCATAATTTTCCATTTGAAAGTTGCCCAAATCAATGGACCAACAGGTATCTATGCCAACAAGGTTAATGATAAGTAGCTTACCCCTTTGAATAAAAATAAATTAACAATAATTCATTACATCACCTGTTGAGGTGTGACCACATGTAGCACCAAAGGCTATTGCAAATTCGTCCTTGGGAACCTATTAATGATGCTTAGGTGTCATGGAACTAGTCGATGAGGCATCATGTGGCGCTCGACTGGGTTGAGTAAGCCTATGAATGCAAGCAATAACACATAAAAGGCAACAAGAAGACACATAAATTAATCAAAAGGTACTTTGTATTGCATTAAATGTTGGCAAGCAAAAGCACACAAGTTTGTGTCGAGGGGACCTCGTACTTAATCTTTACATGGTATTGGCACCACTCAACTACTTACCTCCCCTCAAAGAGTAAGTTAAGATTTTGTGTGAGTGACAAAAAGAAACATCAAAATGGTGAAAAATCATACTAAGTATTTACAATAATACCATTGGCATTCCCCCCCCCACAAAATACATGCATTGCCCACCCAAGACAAATAAGATGGCTATGCCCTTGTAGATTGCTTCAACTTGATTAGTCATGTTGGTGTAGTGAAGGAGTCACTTGTAGTAGTCTCCCCCACTCAATTTGATCTACGTCCTTAGAGATCGGCTTCGACTAGTCCCTTGGAGTTNAAACATCAAAATGGTGAAAAATCATACTAAGTATTTACAATAATACCATTGGCATCCCCCCCCATACAAAATACATAGATAGCTCACCCATGACACTTAATGACACTCTAGAGGCATGCTGAGGGCACGATGGATGGTGCATGTTGGTGTAGTGAAGGAGTCACTTGTAGTAGTCTCCCCCACTCAATTTGATCTACGTCCTTAGAGATCGGCTTCGACTAGTCCCTTGGAGTTGTTAGAATAAAAAGAGGATTCTTCAACTCTTCCACAAACATACTGTAGTCCAAGGCCTAGGTATGTACTTCGGTGGTATGGTTGAAGTGGCTTGTTGGGTTTGGGAATCCTATGTCTAAGTCCTTTCCTAGTGGCCTCAAGGTATGACAGTGGATGGTTCAAGTTGGTTGTAGGGAAGGTTCGGGCCAGGTCAAGGTTAAAATGATGTTTTGGATTGTTGGGAAGTTAGTTCCCATGAATTTCTTCCCAAGGGTGACTACTCACAGGGTTACTCGTGGTTTGGCTTGAGGAATAGTGTGAAAGTGATCCCTAAATGGCTTGGGTGGCACTCACTCTCCCTAATAGTTTTGGTAGTAGGTATGGTTGAAGTTGGAGATGACCTTGGGTCTTTTGCTTTGCTTGATGGTTGATAGTGGGCACAAACGCTGCTGCTAGAGTGTTGAGGACGACTTGATGAGCTATTGCTTCATGCCGGTGTCAATGTCGACTTTAAAAGTGGCTTCTTCAGTTGGGGTGTGGAGAACTTCTCTACTATGTACTTGTTGGTGTCGAACAAGACTTCATCATGGAAAAGTTGTAGTATTGAAACTTGCTTTTGTGGGCCCTAGTGGAAGTCATGATTGGTACCATGCAAGGGGAGTGCTTGTCCAAGATGCACAATGCGTTGATGTGAGGCATGAGTGCTGTTTTCACCTGTTCTAAAACATCCATTCCCAGAACAACTTGAAAGTCATATAGGGGTACCACAGATAAGTTAATCTTGCCTGTCCAAGGCCTAACTTGGAGATCAACCCCGTGGGCCATGCCTTCAATTGCCTTGG